ACTATTTAATACCGCGGTTAATAAGTAAGCTAATATAGCACTAAAATATAAAGAACTTAAGACTCCTATTAATAATAATACTAATAGAACTATAGAATTAATAGACCCTATTATATTATTATTCTAAGAGTAAAATAATATAATAAGATATATTTCTTAGTAATATAAAGATAATTATTATATTTAGGTAGAAAAGGTAACTAAGGAATAAGGGGCTATATTAACTTACTCTTTACTCCTTAATATCGCAAAACGGCTAGAAGGTAAGACCCTATTAAATAGCAATATAAATAAGACTTATCTCCTATTAATCCTTAATCTAACATAAGATTTACTATGCTCTAGACCTTAGGTAATTTATTTAAAAAATAACCTTACCTAGCATAATAGCGCCTATAAGATAGCAATAAAAGGCTTAATAATAGATAAATTAAACCTACTTTACTTATATATATACTCCTATTATTATTAATTATAAAGACTAAAATATAACTTAATCTTATTATTATATAATATTAATAGTCTCTATAGCTTCCTAATATCCCTTAGCGTTACTAAGCTAAGGTTTTAATAATATACTTAATTATATATCGCTTTTAATTATATTAATAATATTTATCTTAATATAAAAATCCTTTCTCTTAGTAATCTAGATAATAATATTACTATAATATAGCCTCTCTATAATATCCTAAATTATTACCTTTGGCGTATTATTAGCCTAATAGATACTTATATCTAAGTCTTTTTCTCTACCTTATTCTATAATTAGCTCTTTAATCCCTATATATAAACTTATATCCTAAGGGAAAGATTTATATATTAATATAAGGAAATAATACTACTCACTATATAAGCTATTATTAATAATAATAATATACTCTAATATATCCCTAAAACCTATATTATTGCCTTATTAGACTTAAGTATACCTTAGGAAGTATTAATAGCTAAAATAATAATTAAAGAAAAGGAGGTAAATATAAAAAAGGAATTAAGGGGATTTATAGGTATAAAGAGGCAAGAAGCACTAAGTAACTTATTAAGACCGTATTATAAGTACTTTTATATTATATTATAGTCTTAATACCTTATTAATCTCTAAGAAGAAATCTAAGTAAGGGCTACTCCCTTCCCTAAGTACGCCGGCCTATAGCTCTATATAGCTACTAAGAATACTAAGCTAATATAAATATAACCTATACTTAAGTTAATACTTAAAGAGTAGTATTATTACTAAGACTTTATAATTAATAAGACCTATATTAATCTATAGGCGATATATATTAATATTAAGCGCTAATTAATACTTACTGAGATAAGACTATGTTAAAGACTTTGATAAGAAAGGTCTTTTATATAAATAATTCTAGGAAATTCAGCTTATAAAATATAAGTCTGATAATCTGCTACCCTATAGTATATTCTTGGCGCTTTCCAATGGTGTGCTTACCTAAGCCATAGCTGCTTTGATAAGCAAGATATTAAGGAGTTACATAAAACTTCCCTCTAGGTCTTCTAGGCCATATAGGGTAAGTCACGTGACTCGGACTTAGGTCTTTTTCTAAAGACCGATAACTCCATTAAAGCCGGCCCTCCTATATGGGTACTTCCTTTCCTATTTCTAATATCTGAAATATAAAACCCTATAAGTTTTATCTTATTTATGCCATAACTCGGCTATTTCCTATCCGATTCATGCATACCCTATATGGTTAGATAGCTCCGGAAAAGGGCTATCCGACGGCATAACCTTTATCCGAATCGGACTAATAGACCCCGAGCAATTGGCTATAAAAGAATAGCCTTCCCTTAGAATAGTTTTCCTTCCTTAGCTCTTGATACATATCTCCAATACAAGCAACAAGACCACCAATAAGAAGCTGGCCTTCTACCCTATACCTCTATTTACCTTGTGACCCACTTTTATTAGCTAATGATTTGCTACCTAGCAAATCAGCTATTTGTTAAGACTGATTCCACTGCCTATTCACCTCCTATCTCTATTACTTACCCTATAGTCTTTGAAGACTATATAGCCTCTATTCTTTAGTCTTTTACAAATATATAAAAGGTAGCTATACTTAATATAATTAGTAAGGTTAAAGAGATAATACTCTTAGGATTTAATAAATACCTATTTATTATTAATAAGATTACTTTATAATTAAAATAAGAAACAACTAAAAGCTATTAAATAAACCTTCTAGAGGTTTAATAAAAGTCGCGAGATTATAAGGAGTCTTTTTAGCTTTAATAATATTAATAAGCTAGCTTATTTTAGGCAATTTATAATATCTTTAAGATCTAGCCCTAATAGGGTTAATATATTAAGGGGGTATATAAATATAGTTTTATATTAATTTACTTTAGGGCTAAAATTATTAAGAGAGAAAATATACTAGGTAATTTATATAAGAGGGGTTATCTTATATTATATTATTATTAGTAATAGTAACTTATTATTATTAGAATAAAAAGTAAATTAATTACTTTTATTATTCTTAATAAGATAAGGTTTATTAAGGCAGAGTATTAAGTATAAAAATATCTATAAAACTTATTTAATATTAACTCTTATATTAAAAGGCATTAAGTATAATAATTTATTTATATAAAATTATATTTATTTAACTAGGTTGCCTTAATTTACCCTCTGGGTATACTATGAGGTTAAATTACTTTTTAATATAGATATTTATTAGGTTTGATAGGCTGAATAATCTGTGCCTGCACGCTCCGTTTAAAACGGCAATAATACCCAAAACCAGCTCGCAATTTCAATGGCTTTAAGGCGTGATGAGAAGTCATTCATCGAGCGTCTGACTCGGCGGGTTGTCGATCAAACCAGCCAGGACAGTCTGGCAAATCATATCTGCGCCCGCTAGCGTTTTCAGTGGCATCCCCAGCAATAGCCGCGGCTTCTTGATCCGCGGATCAGCGAGCCGGTGGAGAAACCGGTGGAGATCCGCCCCGCTACGGATACGGGGCGACGGTCAGCCCAAGCCTCGCTCAAGCCACAAACCCCGACATGAGATGAGGCGAGGATGCAGATCCCTGTCAAATTGACATTCATACCAGCTGGCTGGGCGGCTTACTGCGACCTGGATACTTATCTTCGGCGCCGCTCTGACTCGACAACTGACATGGCGTCCACTAATTCGCGCTTTATCCAAAAGCTGAACGTGCGCTCTGCAATGGACGCCACTTTTGACTTTTGCTGACGAACTGTTAGGGGGAAACGCCAAAGCAAAGCAAGCTCTGGCGTAACCAGGGGACGATCGCGACATTTGGATCCCAGTGCTGATCCTCAGGGATGCCACATTCGATGATGCATCTTTGCAGTCAAAGCTCGATATTAACCTCATGTCTCTTGCTTGATCCGTTTAGAATATTCAATCCATGCCTCAGGCGCACGATACCATCCGCTTGCTTCAATATTAGCTCACTTGAGCTCGATATCTGGTAAGAGCAGACGCCGTAACGATTTCTAATCAACCAACTAGCCAGGCCCCAGGAAGCCCATTCTACAACCACAGTGGCTATGTTTTCGTCACATACGATCTAAGGAGGATGCGAGTCAGAACGCTGCATTGTGCAAACCATGCCATCGGTTTCCCCGGCACACCTGTCTAAAAATCATCAATGGCTAATTACGCAAACTCAAGCCTCAAGCCATTGCCTCCTTTCCATCAGGGCACCGTCATTCAACGGTTCTGGCCTTTAACTTTCGCTAACAAGCCCAAGTCGGACGCTATCTGTTGCGCCTCGCAGGGAGCCGCCTGGAAGTTCCGCTGTTCCGACCTAGCTACCCCCTGTGTCTTGGTTGAGGGTTTATTCCACGGTGGGCTGTGATATAGCGGCGGCCGCCTGCCCGTCTACACACAATTCCCCTGCGGCTGCTAACCAGAGAAAGTCGTCGTATTTAGAAGGTGGCTGCAGACAGGGTGACATCTTGCAGCAGGGAGCGCTGTTCCGCGTGTCCATAATAGGCATGCATCCCCCCCGCCTTTTGCAGATCCCTTGCTATTGCTGGCCGTGCAATCATTCGTTCCTCACGGGCAAAAAGCGAACATCGCTGAGTGCGAAATACCGAAAACCCCTATTGACACATAAGCCCACCAGGGTGTTGCTACATCTCATTCTCGATCACACCAACACGAAAAGATGGCGGCCGGACTGGACGCAGGGGCTAAATCTGAGGGCCCTCTCATTTTCAACCTGAATGTATCCCTTATCGTCCTCTCATCCATTGTTATGATAACACGGTTATACGCCCGCGGCTTAATGACCGATGCTTTTGGGATTGACGACATCTTAGCGGTATTTGGCTATGTAAGGGGGTCTTCGATAACTTCTTTCCATTTTGTCTTGGCTGACAATTCTTTGGACATTAGGGCCTTGCTGTCACTTTATCTTCCCTGGAGATCACCCAAGTGGGAAATGGCTCTGGATCTCCGATGAGCACACTCTCCCCAGAACAGCTAAAGGCTTTCTTTGCGGTACGCAGAAAGGTTACGACGGACCCATTCTTCGTTCAATGCTAACTCCAAGACCGCCCAAGCTATTGCCAGTTGACCAAATAATATTCTTCCTGGCGTGCGGTTTCATTCGGCTTTCAATCCTGGCTTTCCTCCCTCGCCTCAGTAGAGATCGTCAGTGGCGCGTCGCACTCACTCGGAGCAGTAGCTGACATTCTGGTTAGGAAATTTTATGCGATACGTATGGGTTATTGGCGTGATGATTGTTGTAATTACTCTGGCAGCAGTGTTGTTCTTTCTCACCGAGTGCAAACCCATAGGGTACGTCAACATCTTCTCATCAACCCATCCAAGTTTATTTTCTGACCTTGTCTCAGTGACCTTTTCGACGCATTAAAACCTGATAGAAACTGCATCAGTCAAGAAAGGGAGGCTCATTTGATGTGGGCGCACGCCATTATTGGGATTTTTATTGACGCCGCTCTGTTCGGCCTACCCATCTGGGTGATCCGAAACAAAATGGCGTTTGGTTCCAAAGTCGTCAAAGTCATCCTCGTATTCTGCGTTGGTCTCTTCGCTATCATCACGGGAATTCTTCGACTTGGCTTTATGGTCACCACCGACTTTAGCGTCGATACGTTGGTTGCCTTTTCAGACCTCCTGCCATTTCACTGCTAACCAATGACCATAGAACTTACAAAATGGCTCGGGTCGCCCTATGGGTTGTTCTTGAAGCGCATGTTGGCCTCTGGTGCGGCAGTTTCCCTGCACTTCAGCCTCTACTCCGCCTCGTTTCCTACAAGCTCGGCCTCCGAAGTCATCTCGACAGCACCAACAAGCCGACTACTCGAGGCACTGGAACAGGTACTCGGCCTGGCGCAGGTGGATACATCAAGCAGCATAGCGCTATCGATCCTGAGAGCGACGGTGCGAGTGCCAGAGTTATTGTCTCGGGCGGCGATTCGACGACGGAGTTTGTGGAACTCGGCGACGTGGATAAGGGTATTAGGAAGACAACTGATGTGATTGTGAAAGCGGAGGATGGCGTCTATTCAAGAGAGAGGCATGAGGTTAGAACAACGTGGGACGCTATCTAATTAGATAGCATCGCCAAGGGCTGTGAGACCCACGGGATCAAACGTGGATGAAACAGATCGTGAGGAACATCTCGCTACGGCTGACGAATACGACTATACCTAAGGAAGGATAAAACTAGCTTCAGTCATTCATTTAGTTAGAAACCTAAAAGCTTCAACGCCGTCAAAACGCCCCGTTAATATGACATCTGGTATTTTCCAAGGGAATAAACCAGGCGTGCTAGGTTTATTATTAGCAGAGAGTCTCGGTATTACTATATAATAGGGGGAATTATATCTTAGTAATAAATTAAGAAAATCTTAAAAGTAATTAAAGTTTATTAATAGCTTAAGGGCTAAGTATCTATCTAAGGTATAATAAGTATTATATATATATATAAATATCTTATGGTTACTAAGAGAGTATTATAGCATAAGAATATATCTTATAGCATAAGACTTATTTTTAAGGCATAAGACTATCTCTAATTAGCTAAGATTAGAAGGTATTTTATAAGGAAATTTTTTAGGTATATAATAGGGATTATATTAGGCTATAATATAATCTTCCCTCCTCTATTAACTTTTATCCTTAAGACTAATATACTTAATAAGTAAGTATCTTATATAAGCAAGTATCTTAAAAATCCTAACCCTTAAAATAAAAATTATAATAAAAATACTATAAATTATTTAATTAATTAAAGCTACTTATTATATTCTTCCCTAGATATCTTAATTACTACCTAATAGGTCCTTATATTATATCTAGGCTTATTATAGATACTATAGCGCTAAATACCCGGTCTAATTAACCTTCCTTAACCACTACTCCTCGACGATTTAGCCACTACCTATATATTAATATCTATTTAATTAATTACTTACCTTCCTTCCTCTATTATTATAACCCCTCTCTTCTATAGTTTAGTCCTTTTTACCCTTTAGCGCTAACTTAGTATCTTATTTGCTTTTTAAAGGTCTTTAACCTCTATTATTAATAAGGTAACCTTATATATAATAGCCTTTATTTTTTTATAAGGGATTATAGAGCTTTAAGGATTAACTCTAGGGAGCTACTTTAATACCTTTTAATTTATCTTTCGAGGTATTTAGACTAAGATCTAGCCTTAAGGATAATCTTTGGGGTCCTTAAGACCTAAGGGGTAAAAGATTTAATTCCCTCCTTAATAGGTATTAAAGTCTATAGCTATATATTAAGCTTTAAGATTATATTTTCTAGGTCTAGAGGAATAAGCTTAGCTCCTTTAAATATACCCTTAATATTTCTTTTTATTATAATAGCCTTATATATAATATAAAAGGCTAAAAAAAACTCTATCTTTAAAATATAGGTAATAAAATATCTAATTAAATACTTTATTTCTTAATTATAAGCCTTTTTTAGTATATTAAAGTACTTAATATTAAGGGGCTAAAATAAATAAGATAAATAAGGTAATATATAAAGCTAGATAATCTTCTTTTCCTTATAATATCTCTTAAATTTAATAAAATAATAACTTTTATAGTTATTAAGGATTAAGAGATAATAAGAACTAATTAATCGATTAATTATATATTAATTAAAATACTTAAGCTACTTAAGATTAATTTTATTATTAATCTAGCTATTTTAGGTTATTATAATAGCTTAATCGCCCGGGAGGTTATTTTCTCGGTACTAATTAGCGAGGTAATATTAGCCTATATTAATAATAAATAGCTAGATCGCCTAGCCTTTCGTATTAATCGCCTAAATAACTATAATCTATTCCTAGTTTTTAAGCTATATTAATTTTAGCTTTAAATACCTTTTTAAACCTATAATAACTATTCTACTTATAATTATGCCTATAAGAAAGCTAATCTTATTAAAGTTATAGATATTATCTAATTAGATAATATATTTTATAATTATATTCGCTATAAGCCGAAATTAATTGCAGATAATAATTAAATTTTTATACTTAACTCTCTAGTAGTTATATTTATAAAAGAAATATATCTTAAGGTTTAGGTATTACTTAATAAAGTTATAAGCCTAATATATATTAATTAATAGCGTATTATAGTTAATAAGTAATTAATTAGTTATTTCTTTTATATTATATAGCTATAGGGGAAATCCTCGTAAATCTAGGTTAAGAATAAAATAAATAAAGATTTACTCCTCTAGATTAGATAACTAATATAATTTCTAGATAATATTATATTAAGATTAGATGCCCTTTTGCCGGCAACTAAGGGTCTTCTAAGAGATTATATATATACTTATAGCGCGCTAAAGACTTAAACTTAGGTTATTTTAAAGGGCATAAAGAATAAAAAGTATTCTAGCTTTATAATTAGACTATAATATATTAGGTAATTAGGAATTAATTAATTAAATAGTAATAATAAAAGTTAAGGGATTTTTGAGACACTTGCTTATATAAGATACTTACTTATTAAGTACGTTAGACCGATTTATTATAAAGAAATATCGCCTTAAATTAAAAAAAGAGAAAACTAAAGAAAAGCTAATTATTTTATAATAATAATTAAATAAATATCTTTTTTATCTAATATATCTTTATTATTAAAAATACTTTTTTTAAGAGTAAGGTATAAAAATATTAAATAAGGGGTTATTATCTATAAAAGAATTAAAATTATCTAATTAACTAGAGGTAAATATAATAACTAATATATAGGTTATAAGGGCATTAAATATTATTAATTAGAATATTATATTTAATCTTTTTTTACTTAATAAAATTCTTTTAATAAGTATTACGAGTTTATAAGATATTTTAAGGGTTCCTAAGTATTCTTAGATTTAAGGTAATCTTTTTATTTAATTAAATATTCTATTTT